ATCTTGACTAAAATTTGTTGAAAAATACTCACTCCTTAGATGATTCATCAATCTTTTCAACATATTTGTTAGTTCCTATTATGTCCTCAAGGTATTCAACAAAACCTTCATCATGAGGCCCTTGTGCTTTTGGCTTCATCAGTGAAATTTGCTCAACCTCACCCTATAACAACCAATAAAAACTGAAAACAAGTAGAAAAAGAACTTGAAATATCTAAATGCAAGCATCTTGTGACTATATTGAACCTGAAGAATAAGAAATCGATTATTGTCAAGATCAACTCCTTTCCCTTTCAATTTCTTTGTAACCTCAGTAAAGTTACTGGCACGGTTATTGATGTAATATTTGGAAGAATTATCCCGAAATGCAACCCGAGAAATAACAAAATCACTTCCGGGAACAGCTTCATATGTCCCATCATCCTGCATTCAGTAGAGAATTAGTTCAAGTATAACCACCTCAAAATTTTTTAAGGCTTCATTTTGTTAGAGACATACAACAATGAAATTTAATTACCTAAAACTCAAGGTTTTTGCAATTAAAGAGCAGAGAAACTAATATGCAGCATTGAGCTTTTCACAACCTTTATTTGTATATGTTCAGTCAGCTAAGTTGAAAACCTATAGCCAAAATCAAGAAAAACCCAGATGCAAAAGACTCACCAGATCAATAATCTCCTGAAAATGAACAGAAACACCAGCACTATCAAGATTCTGATGATTAGTGGAATTGTGAATAAGCTCTGAAACTTTATTTAGCCGCATCTGCACAATTAGATCAACAAAATCATTGGACGAACAAATACAGAAAAAGGAAAACCCTCAAAAGACAAAAGGTAATGTCTAGCGTATTATTAAGTACCATAGTAAGTATATACAAGCCAAAACGTAGACACCCAAATGATTGAATAGTAAAATTGTGTTAAAAGTTACCTGCTTTGCTCTCTTCCCAAATACAAAAAGCATGGCATCTATCACATTGCTCTTACCACTTCCATTTGGTCCAACCACTGCAGAAAAACTCTAAATTCCATAGAAGACAAAAAAAAGCAAAAGATTTAAACATTATAGTCAATGAAATAGATTTTAATTTCCTAAAAATTAAATAGAAAATAACTGAGGAAATTTTAAAAAAAAAAAAAAAAAAACTCATGTTTTTTGGTTTTTTTTGTTCGTTAATAGCTAAAAAGTACAAACCTAAAAAAACTAAGACATGAAATGCGAACATTACTTATGAACAAAAAACCCTAATTTGAATTAAATTTTTGAACTTATCATATCGATTTGGAACTTCCCACTCAATTTCCATCACTCTCTCGGCAACAAAAGAAAGTAACAAACTAATAACAAAAAAAAAAGTTAACTATCTCTAGTTCAATGCGTCCAATTATCATATCAATTTGAGATTTTGTTTCTCATTTTCCATTATTTTCTCCGAAACCAAGCAGCACTTAAACTAATGACAAAAAAAAAAAAAATGAAAAGGTTACTTTCTACTTATTTTCCATTATCAAATTATCAAATCTGTCACTTAATAAATTTCTTTCGTCTCCGGGACCTATTAAAAATGATGTTATCTCAAGTTTAATAAATATTTAATTTTTTATATCCAGATTTGACCCCTTCACTAACTAATAATTGGTTTAAAGTTAGATGCTTAACAACAAAAACAAAACAATAAACTGTTAAATTTTTAAAATTATCATATCAATCTGCAATTTTACTTCTCAATTTCCAGTACTTCATCGGAAAAGAAACGGAAACAGGCCGAATGATAACAAAAGGGAAAAAATCTAATTCAAGTTAAATTCGTGCAATTTAAAATTCCCTTCTCAACTCTCCATCATTTTCTCGGAAACCAAACGGAAATAACGAAACTAATAACAAAAAAAAAAAAAGCCAATTCAAGTTAAACCGTGCAATCATCATATCAATTCTGCAATTTTCCTTTTCTATTCCCAGCACTTTGTAGGAAAACAAACAGAAACTATGAAATTAATAACCAAAATTTAAAAAAAAAAATCTTACCTTGTGAAAAGGACCGACGCGTTGTTCACCGGCATAAGACTTGAAGTTCCTCATCACCATTTCGTTAATGACCAACCTCGGGCCTCGAGATCCTCCGCGGGCCTGGTCAGGCTCGTGAGTTGAGAACTCATCGGACGATTCCATCCCCATCTGATATGAATGGCTGCTGAGTCAACTCGCTGCACTTGACTCCGATTGAATGAAAAGTTTTTGGAGAAAAATGTGAGGGAGTAGAAGGAAGAGAAAGATATGATTAAAAATATTTTGGCAAGACATTAAAGATGTTTTGGCGGGAATTTGAAATGAAATTAGAAATGGGCCTTATTTTGGGCTTTTAATGGGTTTCAAATTTTTCAACATGCATTTTGCAAATAAAGCCCATTTTCTTTTTTGATGGTTTTTTTTCTTATAATTTAATAGGAGAAAAAAGGATTATAAGGTTTTAATAATAATGTCAGTTCCAATATTTCATTTGTAAGGTGAGTTTCGAATTCCACTATTAGTTTTTTTTTTTTATGGATAATTTATAAATTTAATATAAATTTTTTTTAAAATTTACTACCTAATTTAAAATAAAAAAACTCTCCTCATCCTGAAGTTTTTACCATAAAAAAATTAATGGCTGTCGAATAACCTAAAAAATCTTCTATATATGCTTTTACATCTTGGAAATTTGTTGTTTGTTACATTAGGAGGAAAGCTTAACCAAGGACTTTCACTGCCATTTAGTTGCTGATGCTAGCCTTTAAATCAAATTCTAGTCTCTGTTTTTACCATAATTTTTCCATTTGATGAACTAGATTTCATAGTTCCTTTTATCACCATTTTTGGAATTTCCTTTCATAGTGTGGGCTTGATGGTTCCGGATATTCCAAAAGACTTCTTCAATCAGAGGAGCTTACCTCAGAAGTAGAGTCAGAGGCTGATACAAGTGGGGAACTAGGGTATCCATAGACACTTTAAATATTGAAAAACAAATAAATTAAAAGGAAAATTTTTTCATTGATAAAATTAATAAATTCATTATAAGTTGACACCTTTAAAACAATCTCCTATTGGAGGCTGAATTTGATAAATGCAACAATGAAGCAAAGGACTTTTGGGAGTTTGGGGTCTTCAAATTATTGTTTTTTTCCCCTAGGCCAATAAGCAAACAGGCAACTTTCCTACTTGTCGGCAAATAGCACCCAAAAAAAAGAGTCATTAATGGTCCTAGCTCAGGTATAGGACGGAAGAATGTGAAGAGGAATTTCATAAAGAGATGGAACCTTTCTGTTCCAAAATGGAAAAAAATTGGGAATTTCATAATCATAAGTGACATTGTAGCTTTGGAAAGCAATCCAACAGTTGAGGTGTGGGTGGCAAAAGCCAATGTGGCGATTAGATCAAGGTTGTGGACTTGTCTGATAAATTTGTTTTTGTATTATCATATTTGACAGATATAATAACATAAATTATTAAAATATGAATATGACACAAATTATAAAACGTATTTAAATTTTAAACACGAATATGATATATTTATTATATATATTATATACAATACAATATAACTAATACGAATAATAATAATATGCACAAATAATACACAAATAGATAGTTGATACATATCATCAAACATACCAGCCAACTAGTTTCAAAATATTCAAAAAATAACAAAAATTTATAAGTTACGCTTTAATAATATCGTATCATATAATATAGAATAAATTATTTAATTTTTTATCATTATACATATTATTTAAAGTATGTATTATTTTTAATTTCAACTGTATAATTTTTTTTTATTTTAACTCTTAGAATTTAAAATAATCACATATCATGATTTATACTATTAAGATGATCATATAATTTTTTATAATTATAAATTTAATTTATTATCATTATAATAAATTATTGTATATTTATATAATTTGGATTTGCTTTGCTTTAACAATTATCATATTATTGGATATTGCTTGTTATTTACAATTAAGTGTATATTTATCTTTCTAAATTCCTTATTTAATAAAAAATTGTTTTCTGATCTTATTATAAAAAGTTACAAAGAAAAATATATATTTAATATGTTAAAATTTATATATTATATATACATTACCAATATAAAAAAATACTTGCATATTTAAAAAATATCAAAAAATTGATACCCATTTAATATGCATTTAACATATTATATAAATATTTAAATTTTAATATATACATAATTATATTAGTTTTTAGTATCAAATCCAAAATGATAAACTATTAAAGATTAAAAGATAAAATAATGATGCATTGTTCTAATATTATTATTTATATTGTATTTATATTATTAATATAAAAATAATTTTTTAATAATTATTAAATTATCATAATTAAATATTTTTAAAAAATTTTATATGGTATATTGTTTAGTTAATTAGGTATCATAATAAAAAATAAAAAATTAAAATAATTTTATCTATTTATATTAAATTAAAATAAATATAAAAATATATTAAACGTATTTTTGTGTCGTGTCACGTATTAAACGTATTTTCCTTTAATGCATTTTATTTAAATGTATTTTTTATATTTAGATGTGTCTACACGTATAAAATAAGAATTGTATTGTATCAAAATTCGTGTCAACATGAATAAATATGAAATATTTTTTTTAAAATATATATAATATATATGATTTTTTTCATATCGTTTTTATATAATATCATTGTATCATATTTAAAATTATCTAGTTTAGTTGCAAAGATCCCTTTTCAACCTTTTTTAGGATTTATTGATCTCAACAAGTCAATGCAAATTTAGATCCAGCAATCCAGATCTCAAATGCTCTAGATCCATGGAAACAATGTGGAAAAACAAAGCTTGAAAGCATAGTTTGTGTTTTTTTTTTTTTTTTACATCATTGGGTCTTTTATTCCTTGACAATGAAGATAAATTCTTAGTACATGTAAGGATTTAACCAAACTGGATAGGAAACTTATGATTTCTTCATGTTTAAAGCTTTGTACGAGCATTCTTTGATACAATGACTAATGCGTATTCCATGCTAGAAGAGAAGGTTTGAATCTTTTCTATAAAAAAAAAATAAAAAAACAATGGACAAATTCAAAAATACTACTAAAAATTTGCCCAAATTCATAAGTTCAGTTTAATTTCTCAGCCAACCCAATTTAACCCACAATTACTACTCAATGGCATGCTCCAAGAGGCAAACATATCTGAATGATGGCACCATGTTCCATATTCCAAGCCTATGAATAAATCTAGACTTCAATTCAGGGCAAAAGTAAGACAGAGAGTTCAGAAACCTTTTGCTTTCTGTCTATCCAAAGCTGTAAGATTTTTTTCATTTTTGTTTGGTCTTCGTTCAAAAACTGCAAAGCTATCCAGCATGGAAAGCCTGCAACACTAGTTACCCCCACCAATCTCGGGTCTGTTGGCATGTGTTTGACAGTTTTTTTTTCACATACTTTGCCTCAGTGACCATGACTGGCATTTTTTTGTGTTGTACCTCAGTAAATGAATAAATGCTGAGCCAGATTTAAGATATTTGATTGATTTGCTTTACACTAAAACTCAAAAGTAATCCACTCTTCAAATTTACTTCAAAGAAAGAACGAAAAGATATATATCTTAGATTAGTTAAATAAAACCTTCATTAATAAATAAAAACAAGTATTAGCCACTCTCATTTACAGGGGTGGGTACCTCCATGAAGTGAAAAAGTGGTACAAAACCCAGCACATTTCCAAAACACATAAATAGGGTAACAATATAAATATAGTTAGTTTAATTATGATTTAGGAACTTGGTTTTTATGTTGGAAATAGGGATATGTAAAGGAAGGAAAATGGGGAAAAGATTCTTCTAAGTTTAAGGGCACTTGGGTCCTCCTTCCTTGGTCTTCCAGTTGTTGTAGCAAGGGCACACAGCTTTGTTTCCGTAATAACCTGGGGGCACACACAGGCATTTTTTGCAGCATTTCTGACAGAAGAACATGCAGGGCTTATGGTATTGGGTCTTGCTGCACCTCCTCGTGCACTGTGATGGGCATTCTGATAATTTCATTCAACCAAAAATAAAAAGTTGAGAAAACAACATTATCATTATGCTTTTTTGGAGCATTTGTCAAGTTCGAGAAAGGGAAAAGATATATTTATGCAATTAGTTGAACAAAATATTGGTAGTTCTAAAGAGTTTAACCATTGTTCAACTGGTTATAGCAGGATTCAGATTTAGCAGTCATTGTCAAATTCTTAGAAGGAATAAACAATTACACCCATTTCCAAGCTAACTTTTCATTTCTCCAACATGGGTATTTTCTTATTTTTCAATGTTCAGATCTTAAAATGTGAGAGTTGAAGTTTGCTTACGGTAGCTCTTGAGGCTTCCCGGACCATAATGGTTCTGGAGATAGAAATTGACCAGAGAAAAGAAACCAGAATGTAAGAACTCATCTTTTTGTCGAAAGCTTAAAAAAAAAAAAAAAAAACTCATTTCAAAGCTTTAACAAGAGATAAATGATGTATCATTTACTTGATCATAGTGTTGACCTCCATTTCCATTTGATGCCATGACCTAAAATGAAAATAAACCAAAGGAAAAATGTCAGTTCCTGGAAATTGCAATTCTGTTTTTTGTTTTTTGGGTCCTTCTTTTCCATGCAATTTTACTTTTTGAACATTTCATGTAAGAAAGTAAGGTACCCACCATAGTTTGAAGCATAGAGATGGCAATGAGAGCCAAGAAGAAGGCAGCAACAAGTTTAGCCATGGCCTTTTGCTACAAATTAAACCTTCTCCAAGAATGTTGAAAACAAGAAAAAGAAAAGAACAGAGGAAAGTAAAAAAGAGTACAATGTTAACGAAAGGAAAGGGGTTTGATTGAAGAAGCTGGTATGGGTGTTGTGGAGTATAAATAGAGAATTTCATGTGAAGAAGTTTGGGACCTTGGGAAGGGAAATTTCATCTGTACTTGCTCATGCAGATTAGAATATGGCTTTTTTCCATGATCTGAATGACACCTATCCATGAAGGTTAAATTTGTACTGATGATCAAACTGATTAGTTGTCTTTCACTGTATATTAATATTACTATGCAAATAAAATTTACCCACTTTCCTACAAGAAAAATGAACAAGAATAATGTTTCTTTTATTCTCAAATATGAAATCTCACCCTCTTCTGGTCCAATTGCAGACTTTCAGTTGAGAATAATGCAATTGCTGAATTCCATATAAAATAATGATAATTACTCAAACCTTATCTATTTTGAAAATGATCTCAATTCGATCCTACAAAATATGATCTGTTTAATTATGTCTAATTTTATTAGGTATATTTTTAGATCTAAATAGCAAAATGATTTTTCTTTCATCAAAGATTATCTCCTCTCCTTCTATTTATAAATAAAATTATCTACATATTATCTAATTATTTAGTTTTCTTTTATTTTATCTTTATTTTACTTTTTTTTATGACTTCATATTTATAATCAACTTTTAATTTAAATGTCGGAATGTAAATGCATAAAACATTCTTTACTTATATTTTTAATTAATTTCTTTCTCTTTTGTGATATCAAATTTTACATTTTAGTCCAAAATTTGTCATAAACAAATTTTATGAAAAAAAAAAAAAGCTATCCCCCTTTCTATTTTGAACTAATGTTAAATGTTAATCACTCTTGAAGTTATCGGGGAAAAAGAAAAGTCGGATGAAAAAGAATTTCTCATTTCATATATAGTAAAAAGAAAATTAAAACAAAAATATCAGGACTAATAACAAACAAGAATGGCATTCAATTTTTTTTTTCTCATTTTACTTGGAAATTTTTCTTTGAAATTTTCACAAATGGATAAAAATTAGGAAACAAATTTTTTAGTACTTTATTAAGAGATTATTAATTATAATTATTTATGAAAAAAAATAAATAATTTAGTAGTTGCTATTTGTTTTTAAAGGCGGTGCCGGTGCACTGCATTGAAGAGTTAGTTCAGTCGTGGCAGGTAAAGGGGCCCAATTTTGACCGAGATGTCACGAATAATAATTTTTCTTATATAATGGGAAAAAGAACATATATTTTTGTCCCCTTGCAGATTCATAGACTGAGCAAAGCACGTGACTCAAAGCTGCGCCGCGTTGTCAAAAGCGACCACCGTGCGCTGTAATTTGTTAGACAAACACTACAAAGAAAGTTGTGAACATGATGAAAGACCCCATTGTAAACTTGCAATGTTTCACCGACGTATCTAGTTTTCTTCTTACATGGTTTTGGTCATTTCAATCATAAATTGGGCCAAGCAAATGCCCCATCGAAACTTTGATAGCATTGGGACTAATCTTTTGTACAAAGAAAAGTCTTATACATCTTCCAATTTCATTTATTTGACAATAATCTTTGTTGATAGTAAATTAATTTATTTATACTTCATTTAGATGATTAATGATAAATGATCTAATGAAATTTATGATAAAATGATATGATGTTACAATGCGAATTATTTTCATTGATCATCCAAATAAAACATTAATTTGATAAAGATTTTTTTGGTTGGCACTATTGCTCGAGCTCGACTTGGCAAAATCCATGTCTAATTGCAAGGTTGACGCAATTGAGGTCTACGGTATGTAATTTTTGTATTGTAACTTATGTATTGCTTTTCTTGAGGGTTTAATAAAAAACAAAATGTGCTAATTAAAGTGTAGTATAGGAAAGGTATTCTCGTTGCAGTGAATCATCTATTTAAATATAATCTCAAGCAGTCTCGGATTTATTTATAATATCTATAAAATTATCGATAAATTTATTATTTTTTTAGATGAAAAGAATATGCAAAAAAATTTTTTTTTGAGGTATCTAAAAGAAATCTTAGTCTTTAAATATTTTTATTTTTTAAAATTTTCCAAGGTATTCATAAATATCATAATTTTAAATATATAGATCCGCCCTTGATCTCAAGGTAAATATCCATTATAAATATAATTTTAGGAGAAGGATTAAGTTATATAAAAAAAAAAGTTTTATATTTTTTTACACATTTTTTTTTAAAAATTGATTTTAATAAATCTAAAAATTAGAGAGACAAATTAAAAAAAATTATTTTTATCTTTTGAATTATTGAAATTAATGATTAAAAAAAATATAAAACTAAAAAGTTTTATACTCATATAAATTGATCCCTCCCCTTAAACTAATTACTTGGAAATTTGCATTAATGGATTTGAAAGTATCAAATTAGAGAAAATTGAAATTAGGGTGTGTATCATTAATTTCCATTCTAACTCTTGCACAAACATTAGTTGAAGGCTCCAAATTGAAAACACAAACAAATTCAGGATTTAACTTAATATATTCATACAATTACCTTGAAAAAGTAACAACCATAAATTCAAATTTTAACACTCACAATTTTTTTTTATTCCAAAACAGTGATTTGCTTTACATTACAAAAAATTAAATCACAAATGGAGAACATTAAACATATATAATTTTTTTTGAGCAATTCAAGGTTTTTTTTTATTTTTTAAGTTAAAGACGCTTTTTAATAATAGAATATACAAGGCTAAAGCCATGTGCAATTCAAGTTATTAACAGTAACAAGTTTTCAGATACGTAATTATGAATAATAGATTACTACTAAAGTTATCGATAAAATCGTACTCATTATATATGAATCTTTTAACAACTTTTGAAAGTATTAAAGCATAAGTAAGTTGCATGAAGAAAAATATATAGCACAAGTATTATAAAAGAAGTGCATCGATATTGGTTTAGTGAGTGAGATGAGAAAGTGATGGATATAATTGATAGTACTAATCAACATGGGAATATTTTCTTAAATGAAAACATATTATCATGCCATCTATGCCACGAATCGAAGCTAATATCATTTTGATCACTTGGTTTAGGCTAAATTTGGAACATTGAAAATTGCTTCTTAATCAAAATTCCCCATGGTGATTTGCTACCTCAATTTCCCTCCATTTTCACTTTCATTTATAAACTGAAAAAAATAGAATAAAAATAAAAAAAAAACTCTTTTAATTGCCTTTCTCACTTTATTTTCCATCCTTTTTCTTTCGGATAAATAGAAGATAGACCTTTTTTTAACCTAGTAGTAAAAAAAAAGTTACGAATTGGTGTGAAAATGCATGGTTAGACAACTTATTTCACATGTGCAAAGTCATAAACAAATTCACATGCCTGATAGTTACAGCAATCTTGGTCATTGTCTAATCTTAAATTTTCATCAACAAAATGAATATCTTTAAGTATAATAGTACGACAAAATGTTTCTCAAATCTTAACCATGTAATATTATACGTATGATCACCGACACGATGCCAATATCTTATAGACATAAGCATTTTTATTCATAAAAGCTCTTAACCCATGATATTATATTCTCAAAACAACAACAATGATCCTTAATTCCAAGCTAATTATAAATGCTTCTATGAAAGGATCATAACTTAACACGATGATGTGATCTCTAGCACTTGAATTACCCCAATAGTTAAAATTTGAGATTCTAATTGTAGAGATTATGAAACAAGTTGAGATTTAAAATACGAAAAAGTTACACGTTGCATACCTTAAAATCATTATAAGACAAAGGTAATATATATATATATATATATGTTTTAAATTTTAATATATTTTTTTAATTTCAATATGCGACTTATTTATCTAAAAAAATAATGCATGTTAAACATCGTGATTAACTAGAAAATTAGAATTTAAAATAAAATGGTTGGTTATTTTAAAAATGAAAGTCCATAAATGAGGCAAGGTACAGCACGGAAAAGACTATATATGGCTACTCTCTCAGTCGCATGATCTAGCATGTGGGCACATGGGGGCAATTTTCTTTAATGTATATCCGGCATTTAGGATCTTGATTCATGCCCTGCTTCCTTACCGGATTTCCTGCTTCGTTTTTAATTTTTCTCCGTTTTTGGAAAGGAGCAATTGCCACTATATATTACAATATATACAGACCACATGAATGTTACTATATAATTATATATTTCTTCATAGTGGTAGGTCCATTAATTTTTTTTTTTTTTGGAGATGTTCATTTATAATATATGAAAAATTATAAATAAAAAATTGAAATAATATATTGTTATATTATTACAATTGTCCGCAATAAATTTTCATATCTTAAAACAAAAAAAACATAATTATATTATTGTTAATACTATCAAATACATATTTCTCAATATACGTAATTAAACAATTATTCAACTAAGAACTATTGAAAGATTATTCTGTCTTAGTGTTTAGGAAAATTTTTTGAAGTGTCAAAAAAAATTTTTTCCTTCAAAATTTTTTTTTTAAATAAACACATAAGATTTATATATGTGAGACAATCATTGATTAGTAGCTTGATAAAGAAAATAACCTTCCAATCTCAAAATTATTTTTGCAATATTAAACTCCTAAATAGAGATGTGATTGGAGATGTGTTACCTATGGGTGACTGATCATGATTGTAAAACCATGTGCTTGGTGGGAAAAAATTCCAACTTGCTTATAAAACAAATATTATCATTGTACTAGTACTTAGAAGAGGAATTTTTAAGCTTTCTTTAGCAACATAGCATGCAAAACTTTTTTTTAATTTTTTGCCTATATATTTATTTGTTGACTATTTGTATGAAATAATGTGTGAACATGAGTTCTCTTAATTTTTTTTTTATAATTAAAAATCTTAGGGAAAAAATGAAAAATGTTCAACTTGGAACTCTCATGCTTTCATTTGTGAAGAGATAGCTTAATGAAACTTTAGGTTAAAGCTCACATTTTAAACTTTAGCTAAATGAAAAATTTTCTTTTCTTTGACAATTTATTCACAAA